ACAGGATCTGCGTCGCAGGGTGAAAGTAATATGTTTGCATTTTGCTTCATTGATTTTGATGCGCCAGTTGTTGCACCACTGCTCAATCAAGGAGAGGTGAGATTGTAGGTTTTGAGATGCTATTTGAGGATCTGAGTGAGAGGATAGAATGGCAGTATCATCAGCAAATGTAGCTAGGAAGGTATCGGGATTTGAAGGGATTGTGGAACACCAGCCTCAACTGGATAGTAAGTGGAGAATTCGGTGCAGCAACGGACTTGGAAGGAACGATTTGAGAGATAGGATTTGAGGACTAGGTATAAGGATTGGGGTAAATGGGTTTTGAGCTTGAAAAGCAAGCCATCGTGCCACACCCGGTCGAAAGCTTGCGCTAAGTCCAGAAAGGCACCAGTGCAATATTGCTTGTTTTCAAGTGCAGAGGATATATGGTCCACAACACGAAGGCCTTGTTGGACAGTGGAATGTCTTGAGCGGAATCCAAATTGATGAGAGGGGATGTTGTGGGATTCGAGTATGGGTAGGATGCGTTTGAGGAGGATTTTCTCAAAGATTTTTGAGAGGATAGGGAGTAAGCTTATCGGTCTGTAGGATGATGTGTTATTAACGGGTTTGCCTGGTTTTGGAAACAGCACGATTATGGAATGTTTCCACACCAAAGGAAAGTTGGTTGTGCGAAGGATGCAGTTGTATAGATAGGTAAGGAATATGTTTGCTTTTTTGGGAAGTTGTCTGAGGATTTGTGAAGTGAGGAGATCATATCCAGGGGATTTTCGGGGTTTTAATTTGTTTATGAGGAATTTTACCTCAGAGGGGTTAACAGGTTTTGGAGGTAGAGAGAGAGGAATTGGTGAAGAGAGAAACTCTTTAACTTCAGCAGTGTGGGTGGGATGGAGTTCGGGATGGGGAGTAAATGTGTAGGATAGATGTTTAGCAAACTCTTCAGCTCTATTCGCATCTGACGAAGCCCAGGAACCATCATCACGGCGGAGGGGGTGGGAAATGGATTGGAATTTAAGGATTTTTTTAGTTACAGTCCAGAGGGAGTTATCACTAGATGATAATGAGGAAAGGTAGGAATTGTAGGATTGGGTTCTAAAGATATCCAGTTTCTTTTTTACCTGTTTGGAATAATAATTATACGATTTCCGGTCATCAGGATGCCTGGTTCTTTGCCAGAGGGCCCTAGAGCATCGTTTGCTATGGATAAGGTCCAATAGGTCTTGGGGTAGAGGATTTATACTGAGGTGTTTTTTGGGACGATCAGGTGAGGATACAGTCCAAACTGCTTGCTGGATCAGGGTAGTGAAGGAGTCCACTGCATCGTCAAGGTCTTCAGGTGTTTTTAAGGAAACTCTGAGGTCTATATTACCATCCAATATTTGACGGAAAAGGTTCCAGTTAACTGGTTCCCTGATAAATGAAGGAGGGGATGATTTAGGAATGGGTGATGTGGAAACGGTCAGGACTATAGGACTGTGGTCTGAGGAAAGATCATCAAGCCTTGAAATGGAACAGTTTAATGATCCTAGATCTTTGTGTAGGAAAAAGTCTAGAAGTTCGGGATTGCGGTTGGGATCTGTTGGCCAGTATGTGGGAGTATTAGGTGAAAGGATGTTGCTGCGATGGGAATTAAGTGCAGATAGCAATGTTCGCCCTCGGGAATTTGTGGATCTGGCTCCCCATTGCTGGTGTTTTGCATTTAAATCTGCACCTAGGATGAAATGGTGTCCTAAGGAATTCAGGAAGGAAATTATTTGGGATTCGGAAATGGGTATTTTAGGCGGGGAATATGCCGCAACTAATGTTATTGGGTAAAGGGAAGTTTGGATTATTACGGCAGTGGATTCTAGGAAATTATGGGTTGGTAAGGGAAATAAATGATGGGAGAGAGATCGGTGTATAATTATAGCAGTGCCAGCATGTGCTGTTCAATAAGGATGATCAGTTCTATAAATATTGTAGCCAGGAACGTTGATTTGTCGTTTGTTGGTTAGTCCTGTTTCAGTTATTAGTGCTATGTCGATGTTTTTGTCATGTAATAAGATTGTCAGTTCGTTGATGTGATTTCGAATACCATTCGCATTCCATAGGAGAATGGAGAGGGATTTGGTTGAGGACATTTATGTATTTCTCGGCGGTGGAATGAGGTTGGATATAACATTGGTGAGTAATGAAATAAGAGGGGTGATGAGGGATCTAAATTCAGAGAGGAAAGAAGTTAATAGGCTTGTGAGGTCAGTGGAATTGGAAGGAGGAGGAATGTATGTCTGGGTATTGAACCTAGGTTCAGGGATGGAGGGATATGGGTCTTGAGGTTGATGTGTGAATTCTCGAGGTTGAGGTTCTTGTGGCAGGGCCTGAGATTGAGTGTTTATAGTGTCTCCTTTGAACATCTGAGCATAGGTCACTCTTCCGTTCACTGTTCTAGAGGGTTGTCTTGGTGGCCTGGATGTCCCTTCTTCTCTAGGAGTTGCAACATTCTTGTTTTTAATTCTTTATATGTTTGACAACCCTTGTAGTTGGCACGGTGCCCTTGGTGGCATAAAGCGCATACTGCAGGTGAAGTTCTAGACTTCCTACATTCTTCTGTTTTGTGTTGCTCACCACGCCCCACACATCTAGGAATGTGATGACAATATCTTTTCGTATGGCCATAAGCCTGACAGTTATGGCATTGAACGATGTCGCGCTTGGTGTAAGGCTTTTCTACCACAACGCTGGTGTAATAAAGGCGTGTGACCTTGTAGATGTCTTTGACCTGGGGCGTTCGGTCAAGGTCAACGAAGAATAGTGGGAGCGGTATTTTACTTTTTATTCCAGGCTGTTCTCTATCCTCCTTGAATATGTTCACTATCTGGCGAACATGGAATCCCATACCCACGAGCTCTTCTTTTATAGCATCTGTTGGCGTAGATGGGTGCAGTCTTCTGATAACGACCCTGAGCGCCCTCTCTTGACGCAGTTGATACGTGTGGTAATCAGCCTTGGTGTCAGATAAATATTTTATAATTTTTCTGTATGTTTCTGGAGTGTCGGGCATTAATTTAGTGTCATTGGTGCGGCTTTGGCATAAATATTTTCCTGAGCCCACTAGGTTATTCAATTGGTGACACATTAACTGAAAGTTTTTAATATTCCTAAGGAATATTGGTGGGGGTTTGGGTTCCCTGGGGGTGGGTGCTGCTTCCGTTTCTTCGTTTTGTGTATTTGATAGCACTTGAAATGGGTTCTGAGTCAAAAACGGCGATTCTTCACCAGTCTGAGTTGTCTCATGATTGTTTTGTTGTTGTGAGGTACCAGGTTGGGGATCCACTTCTTCAACAGAGCTCCCTGGTGTGGCTGGTGGAGTATTTCTTTTCGAACGACTTGTTCTTTTTTTAATAGGAGAACTCATTGTAGTATCGAGGCTCCTGGACCTAGTATTTTTACCCTTGCTCGACATTGGCATATGATAATATCGCATTTCATATTATAAATGATAGGAAAAATTGTTAAATGAGAAGCGATAAGAATTTTTTTTTTTTTTAACACGGAAATATATACGCGTGCTTAGAGAGGACTGATCGACACAGAACCTCCTCGGACGGGGAGCCAGAGCCCACTGGTGGGATTAGCGATGTTATGGCCGGCCGTTATCAATAACTAACCTGAGGTCTATTTACACTGTTCACTATTGAGCTGTAAATAAGTGATTACTCACCTTATTTTTTTGTTCAGTAACAAACTTAATTGTTAATATAACAGGTAAAACTATTGTTTCGCATTGAAGTTAAACACTGCCACTATTAATGAAGAATTTTGTAAGAGACGACCTGACGTATGTTTAACTTAGGCTAATGCATGCGCAGAACTCGTTTAATAAAAAATAAAAAATAAATAAAAAAAAAAGGAGCTAATAATTTATATACATACTTACATTAGTATCTATTTACAATTTCATGGGGACTGGATGGATAAGAAATGATTGCACAGACGGGATTTAAAGGTAGGAAGGGTAGTAGATTATCGAATGTGAGAAGGGATGGAGTTCCAAAGGGATGAGGATCGGATAATGAAAGATCTGTCGAAAGCAGCGGTTCGGTGGGCCCTTATATATAAGTCAGAATACCGGGAACGAGTATTACGGGAACGAAAAGAGGATTTGAATTGAAGGAGCTCAGAGATGTATGAGGGACAGTGGGATTGGATGACTTGAAAGAGGAAGGATGCCAGGAAATATTTACGACGGTAGGAAGGACAAAGCCACTTCAACTCTGCATAAAAATGGGAACAGAGGCGTCCCTTGGTCTCCCGAAGATGAATCTTACAAAGCAATTTATTAAACGTTTTATTTTCGCTTCGAGATCCCTAGAGACGCCCCCATATACCGAACCACAATAGTCAAAGTGGAGAAAAATCAAAGAAGTGACTAGGAGCCTTAGGGTTTCAAATGGAAATAGGTGATGGAAATATACTTAACCTTTCATGCATACTCGTATTTATATACTGTATTCACTGTTTCATTTATGGTTTTCTTCTCCGTTTTTATCTAAGCCATAATGTTAATTAATTGAAAGAAAATGTGAATCAAAATAAAATTTTAGTTTTGGACAAAACTTTAGGTGGGGACAAAATAGTCTTCCGGGAAAACAGCGCAACACTGAGTTCATAACATAAATAAATGACTTGCCAATTTGCCTGGAATCATTAAGTATTGCTGTCTGTTTATTAGAAGCTTTATTGGAAGAAAAAAAGAAAATTCAATGTCTATGTCTGATTATAAGAGAGTCTGATTAACGAAAATTTCAAATATATATATTAAAACCCATAGAACCTTGGTGGAAAAATAAAAATAGTCCTTTATGAGACATTTTCATTTGTTAGAAGAGCCGTTTAGTGTGAATTAGACTGCATATAACACCATCATTATTATTTTAACATGATAAATAATAATTTCAATATTTATAGCATTTGCTTCCAAAATAAAAAATAACTTTATTTTTTAATTAGCCAAAGCTTACCTATAACTGATATGATAATATTTTGGGATGTCGCTTTGCCCTGCTTATTTTGAGCTGAACATTGGTAACTACCTTTATCTTGCTCTCTTCCCACACTTGTAATGTAAAGAGTGCCATTAGGGAAAATTCTTTGGTTTCGATTAATTGGCAATTTCCTCCCATCTAAAATCAAAACTCATATCACTAATAATATGCTGTACAAAAATTTATATTGAAATGGATGTTCTTCATAATGTGCAACATGAGATCAAATTATAAATTTTGGTTTGCCTTATAACAGTTTGAATATAGGGTTATAAAAGTGATTCAAGTCAATTAACCAATGACTATGATGATTTAAGGTTATCAATATTGAATTACCATTAATAAATAATAAAACTAATTAGATCTGTATTTTATTATTTACAATTCTTGGATGCCCTCCATGGATCTAGAGGAGAATTAAAAGGAAAATGAATGCCATAACGAATTCATCGAAGCTGCTTTTGGTATATCTTAAGTTTAAAACAACAAAGTTTTTTTTTTTTATTATTAGAACACTTTATTCAGAAATATTACAATTTGTCACAGTTAAGGACACTTATAATAGAGTTCAGAGATTGCATTCATACCGTATATACGAAAATATAAATAAATAAAGTAACAACAAAAGAATAAGAAGAAAGAACAAAAGAGTAAAGAAAAAAAAATATATATATACACATAAGTAAATAAAAATAGAAATAAAAGTAAAACAAACACCTTATATAAAACATACATTATTTACAATTTGCCAGGTGATCTCCGAACCAATCCTGTCCCCTCCACATGTGGAGGGAAAAGGGAGGCTTAGGAGATCCCTACGCTTCTCCCTCAGCCACTTCACTGGTATTTTAAACCAGCGGAGGATGAGTAAGAGCGCTACAGCCACAGACACTCATGACTTGAGTGGAGAATCTGGCCATTGCTAGAACTCCAAAATATCCATATTTACAAAAGGTCTCGTGGCCACTGCCGCTTTAACCTACGAAGGGGATTGTAGGGTTGGGTGGTGCTTGATAGGGATTGTACAACGGGATTTGGGTGATGAGAAAGGTTCTGGTGAAATTTGGAAAATTTGGCTGGGATAAGATCAAGAATAAATGGGATATTAAGGTCATGGTGTAGGGTTTTATTGGTTACATAGAAGGGAGCATTGACTATTGTACGGAGGACTTTAGACTGAAAGGATTGAATGCGTTTGATGTTAGAAACTTTGGCTGTTCCCCATAGTTCTAGTCCGTAAGTCCAGATGGGTTTCAGTATTGTCTTGTAGATCAGTAATTTGTTTTCACCAGAAAGTTTAGATTTTCTATTCAGTAGTCTATATAGCTGGCCATATCGTCTGTTAAGTTCCTGTCTTTTAAGTCGAGTATGTGGATTCCATGTTAGTCGTCTGTCTAAGAGAAAGCCAAGATACCGGACTGTATCTGAGAAAGGAAGCTGGATGGAGTTAAAATAAACTGGTGGGCAGGTATTACGCCGAAGGGTGAAGGTAATGTGTTTACATTTAGATTCGTTTACCTTAATGCGCCATTTCTTACACCAGTGTTCAATCAGGAAGAGGTGCCTTTGTAAGTTTGCGGATGCTGTTTCAGGATCTGAGTTGGAAGAAAGGATAGCAGTGTCATCAGCGAAAGTTGCCAGGAGGGTATCGGGATGGACAGGAATATCAGCGGTAAAGAGAATGTAAAGGATGGGGCCCAAGACGCTGCCTTGAGGAACGCCAGCCTCAATTGAGTAACAGTCGGAGAATTCGGTGCCACAGCGAACTCGGAAGGAGCGGTCGGAAAGATAGGATCGGAGTACTAGGTATAAGGACTGTGGTAGATGGATTTTAAGCTTGTAGAGTAATCCGGCGTGCCATACCCGGTCCAAAGCTTGCGCTATGTCCAGAAATGCACCCGAGCAATACTGCTTGCTTTCTAGGGTTGAGGATATATGGTCAACAACTCGGAGTCCTTGCTGGACAGTGGAATGTTGGGAACGAAATCCGAATTGATGAGTAGGAAGGTTATAGGATTCAATTATAGGTAGGATTCGTTTCAGTAGGATCTTTTCAAAAATTTTTGAGAGGATTGGGAGTAAGCTAATTGGTCTATAGGATGCTGTATTGTTGGAAGGTTTGCCTGGTTTCAAGAAGAAGACGATGGTGGAATGTTTCCATAAAAGAGGGAAGTGGGTAGTTCGTAGGATGCAATTGTATATATATGTAAGAAATATGATGGCTTTAGATGGAAGTTGTCGAAGGATCTGTGGGGTTAGAAGGTCATATCCAGGAGATTTGCGAGGAGTGATTTTCCGTAAAAGGTATTTGACCTCAGAGGGATTAACAGCTTTAGGTGGTAAGGAGAGTGGGATAGGTATTGAGAGGGATTCTTCTACTTTTACTGTGTGGCTGGGATGGGATTCTGGATGAGGAGCGAAAGTATAGGAAAGGTGTTTGGCAAATTCCTCGGCTTTATCTTCATCAGATGCTGCCCAGGAGCCATCATCTCGTCGAAGAGGGTGGGAAATATGATGGGATTTGAGGATTTTTCTGGTGATATTCCAAAGGGAATTATCATGAGCAGAGAGTGTGGTGAGGTGGCTAATTCTTTTTTAATTTTTTACAGTGATAATTGTAGGAGTGGCGGTCGGCTGGATGTCTGGTACGTTGCCATAATAATCTGGCACGGCGTTTTATGTGGATTAGGTCAAGGAGGTGTTGAGGTAAATTATGTTTCTTAAGGATTTTTGAGGAGTGATCAGGGGAGAAAGCAGTCCAGACTGCTTCTTGAATTTTGGTAGTGAAGGAATGTACTGCATTGTCCAGGTCTTCAGAGGTTTTCAGGGTTACTCTGAGGTCAATTTTATCGGAGAGGATTTGATGAAAGAGTTTCCAGTTAACTGGGCCTCTGATGAAGGACGGAGGAGAGGGTTTAGGAATAGGAGCTAGTGATACTTGGAGTATTAATGGGCTGTGGTCTGAGGAAAGCTCGTCAAGACGGGCAACGGAATGGTTGAGAGCACCTAAACCATTATGGATAAAGAAATCGAGGATATCGGGATTACGGTTAGGATCAGTGGGCCAGTAGGTAGGTGAGTTGGGTGGAAGAAGGGTAAAATTTTGGGAATTGAGTACAGACAGCAATGTTCGACCACGAGAATTCGTGGTTCTTGAACCCCATTGTTGATGCTTGGCGTTTAAGTCTGCACCCAAGATGAAATGATGTCCTAAGGAAATGAGGAAGGAACTAAATTGGATATTGGAGATAGATCGGTTTGGAGGGCAATACGCTGATGCAACGGTAATAGGAAAGGAGAAGGTTTTGATTACGACTGCTGTGGATTGTAGGAAATCGTGTGTAGGCAGTGGGAGTAGGTGATGGGAGAGGGATTGGTGCACAATGACTGCAGTACCGGCATGTGCTCTACCGTCAGGATGGTCGGTACGGTAAGTTATGTATTGCGGTATTTTTAGGAGCTGTTTTTTAGTCAGTCGAGTTTCCGTTATTAGGGCTACGTCTACGTTCTTGTCTTGTAGTAAGGCTGTTAGTTCGTGTATGTGATTTCTAACACCATTCGCATTCGAAAGGAGAATGGATATGGGTTTGATGGAAGTCATTTAAGGATTTTTTAAAGGAGGGATAAGGTGAGATACTAGGTTAGTGAGAAGTGATATCAGTGGGGTAACAAGGGATTTAAATTCTGAAAGAAAGGATGTCAATAAGCTGGTTAGATCTGTAGCATTAGGCGGTGGAGGAACATATTGGATTTGATGTTGGTGAGGTTGTTGTTGATTAGGTACATTAGGTGGGATAGGATATTGAGATTGGGGTTGAGTTTGTTCTTGCGGCAGGACCTCACATACATTAGTCGGGTCTCTACCCCCAAGTAGCTTGGCAAAAGAAACCTTAGAGTTCACAATTTTAGCGGGTCCTCTTCTTGGTTTAGGTGTATCATCAGGGTCCCTGGGTTTCATATATCTCGCTTTAAGATTTTTATAAATTTGGCAGCCTTTGTATTTGGCTGGATGGCCTTCCAGGCATAGAGCACAGACTTCTGGTTCCGTAATTGGTTTATTACACTCACCAGACTTGTGTGTTTTACCACATTTCACGCAGCGTGGTAAGTGGTGGCAATAAGACTTGGTGTGGCCATATGCTTGGCAATTATGGCACTGGATGAACTCTCTTTTTGGGTACGGTTTTTCGACCTTTACGCTGGTGTAGAAAATTCTATTCACATCGTATATTTTCTCGATCCCAGACGATGGCTCTAGATCGACGAAAAATAAGGGCAAGGGGATTTTATTCTTTACACCTGGTTGTTCTTTATTTTCTTTTAAAACATTGGTTATCTGACGTATTTTGAACCCTAACGCCGTTAACTCTTCTTTAATCACTTCTATTGGGGTTGAGGAGTGTAAATTACTTATTACAACTCGTAGTGCTCTTTCCTGTTTCAACTGGTATGTGTGAAAGTCCGCATTTGTGTCTGTTAAATATTTTACGATTTTTCGGTACGCTTCAGGTGTGGCCGGTATTATTTTTGTATCATTTATTCTGTTTATTCTGTTTAGCCATGTATGCTTTGTCAAACAGTCAGTCAGGGACGACTTAATAACGAAGAGGAAAGTCAAGAGAGACCTCACTACTCGGGATATCGGCTGGCAGGAGAATGACTGTCACCGGATATATCTGAGTGAGGAAATGACTCCCACGAACAGACACTTATATTGGCTCGCCCGACAGAAGAGAGCTGCGGGGAAAATCAAATATACGTGGTTTGCCGCCGGAAAGGTGCGATGTCGAAAGGAGGACGGGCATAAAGTTATTCTGATTGAACAGGCCTCGGACCTCGATATATTTGCCTGACCACGAAGAATTCGTCTACTCCTCATCTTCATTAAAATAACTTTGAACTCAATTATCTACAAACGAACATTTTCACTTCTACGCATAGAGATATCTCTTCACACTTACACACTAATTTATATTTTATTGACCATATGTTTTTTATTTCTTTTGGTTCCTGCTTACACTTTCTTTTCTGCTATTTTCATTAATTGTAAACGCCTTTTTGTATTTTCTATTTGTTTTAGAGTTTCTCTACCAAACTCTGACTGTTTCCCTCCCAATTCCTCTCATGTCTAGTACCCT